GCTCAAAAGTTGACTCGAAATTTAAATTTCCATAAATACTGTCTGTTGGTTGATCGATATTAATTATTCCAGATTTTTTGGGATTCTCTCTCCTTGTTTCTATAAAATAAAAATATGAGTATTATTTCATTATTCATGTAGTGACGACAACCCAGATGATTCGCGTTTAAAAATTTCCCTATGAGAAACCCTGAAAGAGAAATGCATTCGCTTGTCAGTGACAATTTCATATTGATCCGGCAAACAATTTTTTGCCATGAACATAATTTCTGAAAAAAATTATTTTCAGATAAATATTCATCAAAAAACTTATTATTTTGAATGAATACAAATAGCTCAAAGTCATTTCCACACAATGTTCATAAACTGAACAACAATGGTAGATTTCGGGAGAAAAACAATTACTTTCCTGGCCAATGCCACGCAGAACATTGAATTACATCCTCCCGAAATCTATGCATCGACTCGTATAAACAAATACTGATACAAGTGATTCTTTCCTGAATGCCTATTGATTTCGATTCAGCCAGGCTACGCTAGACAACCACAGACCGGTTTCGAGCTCTTTGACTCTCATCAGTGCAGTGTAGTCTCCAGTCAGCAGTCCTAAGACCGCCGACTATGCGCAGCCTAGCCAAACAAAGATCAAGTCGGCATTATATTCCCCCAGAGGCGTCTTTCATCGACAATATGAAAGCAACGCCATCTGAGTAGAACAGAAATGAAAGAATCACTCCAAAACTGAAATTCCCATACGTGAGTGGCTGGTTGCCCGACTGGCGTAATTTCAACTACGAAATAGCCACAATGCTCAAAGTGGAATGAAAGGTTGAATAAATACAATAAGCTCAAAGTCATTTACACACAATATTCATAAAATGAACAACAATGGTAGATTTCGGGAGGAAAACTAGTGATTCACACGAGACCAACGAGACGAGACTTTCATAAAGTCTCGTCTCGTCTCGCCGATAAAATATGAAGTCTTGTCTCGAGTCTCGTCTCGCAGCTTCGAGTCTCGTCTTGTCTCGCGTCTCGTACGAGAGTCTCGCAAATGTATCGCAATTTCGTCATGCATCATAATCTTGTTCTAGTCTAGTACGGGATATTTACCTTTACCTACTTTTTAGGTATAATGTAGAGGTAGGAAGAGAAAATTACAACAAAAATAACATTATTTATTGAAACAAGAAATAAAAAACAACAGCATTATACAGGGTGTTTGGTTCACCGACGTATATACGGAAAGAGGTGTTAGGTTATGTGATTTTGAACAAATTTGACCTTATATACTCTCATACAAAGTGTTACACTATTAGAGAAATCATAGCTTATAAATTCAAAATTGGATGTTACGAAAATCGTTTTTCGAATTCTAACGAGCCAAAATATGTTTTCATCACATTAGATTCCATTTCGTGTTCAGTACCTATCGATGAAATGCGTATTCAACTTTCTGAGAAAAAAGAGATTTAATCAGATAAAATGTTTGAAAGACCGATGATACCTCGAAATTTGAAACACTTTGTACAATAGTATATATATGGTAAAATATGTTCGAAATGTTCTCAACTATCACCCCCCTTTCAGATATACGTCGGTGAACCAAACACCCTGTATTTTCGGAAGTAATAAAAATAAAATAAATAGTAACACGTATATTTCAAACAAATAAACAAAGCAAAAACTTCAATCCAACATTATTTCGCCGTAAGAGAGAGAATAGTCCGTTTTCGTTTCGCGCATTACGTCATTTTACAACAATCATGGATTGTGTTTTTGAAGTAGTTATGAATAAAATGTTTTGTGTATCTGTGCAAAATAGTCTGAATTCTTTCTAAATATGCTGTATTATGAATGAAATTCTCAAGTCTGCAGTCGGCACGCCGAACTATTTACCTGCGAGACTCTCGCACGAGACACGAGAAGTATTGCACGAGACTCGAGACGAGACCAATAAAAGTCTCGTCTCGTCTAGTCCGAGTCTCGTCTCGAGTCTTGTCTCGAAAACGAGACGAGACCATGCGAGACTCTCGAAAACGAGACTCTCGCGGGAACCACTAAGGAAAACAATTACTTTCCTGGCTAATGCCACGCAGAACATTGAATTACATCCTCCCAAAATCTATGCATCGACTCGTATAAACGACTACTGATACAAGTGATTCTTTCCTGAATGCCTATTGATTTCGGCAGATTTGTTATCTCATACCCATGCTGGAGATATAAATGAACCACATAGTTAAGTATTTTTGTTTTGATCAGGAAAGCCTTCAAGATTCACGTTTTTGCTCGATCTGTAGTTCATTCCTCAGTCCCGGAAATTATATGATTGGATAATTTGTTTTTGAATAATCACGGCCAGCAATACCTTTCTGCCTCACAAAAACGATATTGTTTACTTTCATTTGTTTACCGAGCCAAACACAGTCCCACTTATTGAATTCATCGATATGATGTCAATAGAATACACAAATAGGTCACTCTGTGGTTGCATTCATATTGAAACTACAATTTGAACCTCCTTGAAAATTGAATAAACCAGATCTGGGAATGCAGGTAGAATATTCTCACCACATGAATTATTTTTTGTTGCATTGCATACATCCACCCACGTTTCGGGTATAATTGAATTCGTGCTTGAAGTCTCTGATGACATCATCATGCATGTCAACACAAATTGTAGCAAAGTAAAGTAGTCGGAGGTCTTGCTTCTATCTACTTTTCTACTTACTCATATCATTTTAATGATCTGTCAAGTGAATCACATTGGTGGTTACTTCACTTATATTTATTTTAGCTAATTCTTCCGGTTGCACAAACAAATAGCATGGATTATTCGGATTAAAAGTGACTTTGTTTGACTCGCAAATTTTTCTATTCCTTGCTTCGCTAGACGCTCCGCCTAACAAATGAGAAATTTCGCTTGTTGAACAAAGTATTACTTCTGATCCTGATAAAACAATCTACTATTTTTGAAAAAATTGGACCATATCAGAAGAACTGTATTTCGGGAACTATTAGACGTATAGGTGCTGAGGTTAGGCTTAAATTATGACAAATTCAGCTCCTTCAAATAGTAGTAGTAGTAGGTGGGGAGGCTGTAGCCAAGCAAGTAGGCCCCAATGGGCCCTTTTTGCCAACCCCTGCTCTCCACATATCTACGCTTCCTTCACCTAGATTTCCTTCACGAATCTCCCTGACCTCCTGATGAAAGCCAGTATGTCCGTCCACTCTATAATAATCAAGTCCTCCTGTTGGAGTTTGTCTACTCCAAAGATTTCAAATCTCAGCCTTCCGTAGGCCTCGCACTCGCCGAGGAAATGAAGTAACGTTTCCTCGTCTTCCCCGCATCTGCGGCAAGTGGGGTTGTCCTCTATTCCCATAAGTGATAGGTGTCTGTCTAGCCTGTTGTGTCCTGTGAGTACTCCTATGAGGAGGCGGAGTACTTGCTTGATTTGCTTGGACCGGCCATGAATTCCTTGGCCTGCCTGTAACCTGTGATATTCCTCCAGCTTTCTCCTAGTCCTAATGCTTTGTCCGCCCATTCATCGAGGGCTGAGGTAATTTGGCTCCTTGCTATACCTAGTACAGGCTCCTTCAAATAAGTTGTGATTCATTTTTTCGGTACCACAATAGTATATTATGTAACAAGTGTTATAAACGTCCTTTTAGTAACGAGTATTTTGAGAACGAGCGGAGCAGAGCGGAGCGAGTGTTTAATATACGAGTATCTAGAAGAGTTTATAAACGCGTTACATACTATGCTTTTTCTACGAACTCCGAAAATTACATTAACATACCTGCTATTCCTGCTAACCTACAAAAAAATTCGAAAGGAATGGGAATTGAGAACATAATACATGCAACTGCATGCAACCAGCGGGACACGTATGAGTGATATTGGTTGTAGATGTGTCCAGTCCATTGCTTGCTAACCTTTGTCTCACGTTTATTGTCATGCTTAGCGCAGAATAAATGAATTGTTCTCAAAGATGGATGCTGCTTCATTTTTACACTTCTTGGAGATATGCAAGTACCAGAACATTCACTTTCGTCTACATTTCGCATATATTTTTGATGTAGAATTCTGATACAAACGAATATTGTTTCGATAATTCTGATACGAAATTTGAAAATAACAGGTGACAGTTGATTCAATTGACAGGCTAGACATGTCTTAAATTACTGAAGCTGTGTTTAATGATCGTGTTTAATATTTCGAATGAATCACAGATCGTCAGTTCGTGATCAATCGATCATTCAGAGTGGTACATATCCGTATGCTAAATGCCATTTTAGTTATGTGAGTAGAAAAATACCCTTTTTTTTACTCACATAACCAAAATGGCATTTAGCGTACGGATATGTACCACGTTAAATGATCGATTAATCACGGATTGTCGATCTGTGATTTATTCAAAATATTTAACACGTTACCATGGCAACACGATTCCTCAAACACATTACCATGGCAACACAGTTCATTAAATACAGCTTCAGTAATTTGAGACATGTCTGGTCTGTCAATTGTATTAACTGTCAACTGTTATTTTCAAATTTTGTATCAGAATAATTCAAACAATATTCGTTTGTATCAGAATAAGCAATTCCCATTTCTTACGAATTATTTTGTAGATTTTAGCAGGAATAGCAGGTATGTTAATGTAATTTTCGGAGTTCGTAGAAAAAGCATAGTATGTAACGCGTTTATAAACTCTTCTAGACACTCGTTTATTAAACACTCCCTCCGCTCTGCTCCGCTCGTGCTTAAAATACTCGTTAACTGTGTTAGCGAATCATGTCGTGTGTCTAAGAATTTTGTAAAAATATCATCGTTTGTGAAGTTTCTTACATTCACATTATATTAAAAAATCAATCGGACTAATAAAAAAACTCACAGGGCGATCAAATCGGCTATTTTTTTGCCGGTAAGTACACGAGTTATTTTCCAACAGCGCTTTCCGAAGGCTTCCATCAAGAAATGCGTCTCAACTGAGATGGGCCCGTCGACCGCCGCCAACTCGACCGCGGGCGGCCACACCGCCATCCGTTGCGCGGACGGGCTGCTGCTGCCCTGCTGGCAGCCGCTCGTCGACGTCGCGCTGACCGAGCGCGTCGGCCGTGGCGTCGTCTATTTCTGCGCGCTGGCCTATCTCTTCGTGGGAGTGTCGATCGTCTCCGATCGCTTCATGGCCGCCATCGAGGTGATCACTTCGCAGGAGCGCGAGGTGGCTGTGCGTAGGGCCAGCGGAGAGCCGCACATCGTCGTCGTGCGCATGTGGAACGAGACGGTTAGTATAGTACTGACACCAAACATAAACAGCGTAAACAGACTTGTCTGGAACAATAATGAACTCAATAGGTTAGCTTTTGGGTGTATGATAAATTGACATTCATCATCTCGTTCATCATACAGGGCGTGGAAAGAAATTCTGAATTGAGACTCTATCACGAATCTGCGATTAGAAGTCCATAAAAATCACAAGTTTCCATCGTTCAAGTTTGAACCCCCTGATTGGGTATGAAAGTGTTGAAAAGGAATATTCTCAGATAAATTATGAACATACAAAAATGGATATATATTTATATAAAGCAATACATTGAGAATTTGCATTCTCTATGTGATGAGAATATTTACTCTTTCTCAGTTGATTCAATAGAAAACAACTACTTTCCTGGCTATATGCCACGACGAACATTGAATTATATCTATTGAACACACACGATAAGAGTTTGAAAATAAAATATAAAAACTTCTGAAATTGAGAATTTGCTTTCTCCTTCAGACAAAAATATGTATATGCACACATCATTCTGAATATTCAACAGAAAACAACTACTTTCCTGGCTATTTGCCTCGTCGAACATTGAATTATATCTGATGAACATTCAAAAGGAGAACATGAAAAATGAAGAATAAAAACCTCCGATATTGAGAATTGACATTCTTCTTCAAATCGGATGAATAATATGATGTATAATGATATAGAAATATAACTTACTAATATATTCAGCATTGAAATGAAAATTGGAATGTATAGGAGAAGTATACTGGCATAAACTCTGATCTTGATGAGCTTGAAAAATTCCAAAAATAATCATTCATATCAGTGATATGGGAAATATTATCTCTATAGGTTAGGTTAGCAAACACATCTGCGACATGACATCGCTAAGATGTCGCGATGGAGTAACACTGATATATTACGAATGTTCCGTCGCTGCGATGTACAAAAGAAAATACATCAGCGACATGACATCTCTGAGATGTCGCGATAAGGCAACACTGCGATATTACGAATGTTCCATCGCTGCGATGTACACATCTGCAAGTATTTTTCAAAAATTTGTTATTTTTATGTTCGGTGAAAAAGAATACATGAATATACGTTACTCAACAAAGTTGAATTCGTTACATTGCTATCGAAATATTCTCGCTTTGCTTACATCTCGCCGACACATACTACATAATTTTTGATACTAATACGTGTAACTGATCTCATTCCGATAGAGATTCGTAGGTCCTGAAAGGATAGCGCCGCTGAAAAGACGACTGAATGGACAGGAGAGCCGAAGGACCACAAAAACACATAATCAATATTAGAAGAATGTTGGATGAAACTTTTTTTCGTTTTATTGCGATGTCATCCCGCATCACATCGTAGTTTTATCGCAAAAACACATCGCTTTTCCATCAGATATAACATATTGCGATCACTTTGCAAAAAATATATCGCTGTTATATCGCAGAGAACTTATGGCAGCGACGTCGCATGAATGAAACTTGAGTGGGACAAAATAACATCCTTCTGACATCGCAGCGACGTCTATGCGACAAATAATCCGATATCGCAGATCAGAGTTGTTACATCGCTGCGATATTTCTGTGCTATAACTGTGTTTGCTGGGCTCCATGTTGGATATCTTTGATGATGATCAAGAATGAGTTCACCACAATGTTCTATTCTTCATTATGTCGAACTAATTGCGAATACAATAACTTGTTCTACTTAAAAATTTAGAGTCAAACTTACACGCTCTGTATAATAAAAACTGTACATGGGAGAAGTTTGGGCCCATGGGAATTCTTGATCAGAAAAAAAAATATGCAGTGAAATTCGCAATTAACTGGAAATTGCTAATCAAAGGTAGTTGAAAGGGAAATTTTTTATATAAAGTGTCGCGTGAACAATCTTTATCGATGATACGATAGAAGATCAAGGTTCGATTTAGAATTTCAACATGTCTTATTAATTGCTTTATCAATCATCGAAAACAAAGTTAAATGAATGTTTCCTTTAGCATTTCTCTTCATAAATTGCAATTCCAATACTGAATTAGAGCATCATGTACCAAAATGTTTTTACAACCATCAGCGCCATATTGATTTCTAGCGTCTCACTCTTATGTTGTTATCAATTCCACTATGTCTCGTAGTTTATTCAATATACACTCGCCGGCAAAAAAACGGACAATAAAAAAATTATCCAAATTGATCGCTCTATAATTTCTTTATTTCCTGTCTGATTTTGGTGAAATTTCAACCAAATCGTAGATACATGTTTCGATAAATGTTAGCCTGAATTTAAGTTCCCAAGAAAATCTGACGCCTTGATCATTTTACTGGGAAAAACAAAAGTTACTATTTCAAGCTTAACTAATTAACGCCCAGTGGCAGAAGTGAGAGATCAAACTTAGCTCCATCATGTTTTAGATTGAAATGTAGTCCCTTCTGAGCACAATGGTTCTTGAATCACATCAATACTTCTACTTTCATCTACTTTCAAAGAGAAGATACAAATGTTTTAAGAGAATATAGTTTCAACGAAAAGCAGACCTGCTCCTAAATCTACCCCCGTTCCAGCGGTATCACAAAAAATGCGTCATTTGTATTTCAGAATATTCACTTATATTTCAGGAAGCGTCAATTGTATTACAGAATTGTCAATTCAATTTTAGAAAGCGTCTATTGTATTTCAGAATAGTCAATTGAATTCAAGAAGGCATCAATAATAAATTGAATTCCAAATGATATTTTCTGAAATACGAATGACACTTTCTGAAATTCAATTGACTATTCTCGAATACAATAATTATTGACGCTTTCGAAAATTGAATGGACTATTCGGAAATACAATTATTGATGCTTTCTGTGATACAAGTGACTATTCTGAAATACGATCGACGCTTCCTGAAATTCAATTGACTATTCTGGAATACAATTTATGCCTTCTGAAATACGAGTGACTATTTTGAAATACAATTGATGCTTCCTGAAATACTAGTGACTATTCTGAAATACAATTGAAGCTGTCCTGAATTCAATCGACAATTGATGCTCTCTGAAATACTAGTGACTATTCTGAAATACGATTGACGTTTTCTGAAATTCAATTGACTATTCGGAAATGGAATTTACGTTTTCTGTCATACAAAATGACTATTCCGAAATATAATTGACACTTTTTGAACTCAATTGACCATTCTGAAGTACAATAATTAATGATTTCTGAAATACAAATGACTATATTCTGAAATACAATTGATGCTTTCTGAAATTCAATTGAAATTTTCTGAAATACAACTGGAAATGGTAGTCAATAACGAGTATTCCCTCCTCGAGCTTGAATTTCAGCATTCAACCACCATGGCATTGAGTTGATCCAATTCTTCAAGCAGTCTTAAGGAATAGCCTCAAATCCTCCTTGAGGAACCAATCTCCGCTCATGAAGAGTCTCTGACAAGTCGAATGAAGACGAATGAGCCTCTGGAGTTCATGACCTAAAGGTTCTGTTTGTAACTGTTGAAAAAAATTAATAAAATCCATACGTTCATTTGTGTCGTGAATCAAGAACCATTGTGTTGACAAGTGTCGAGAAACGATCACCTTCCAATCCAGAACATGATGAAGCAGAAGGTTGGAGAATGGTTTTGAATTATTTTTGAATAAGAATAAAAAATTCCATACTTTCTTGAAGCACTTGTATTTTTTTTAAAGAGGAAATTTTGACGTGAATGGAGAACCATTGTGTTAGTAAGGAATTACATTTCAATCCAAAACATATGATATATAACTCTTTATTAGCATACAAAGTGCTCTTCACAGAAAAATACAGAATAAGCAAAAAAAAACAACACAAGTATCACAAATAACAAAAGTCCTTCAAAAGACAAAAACAGGTACTATAGTAGGTACAACATATTAAAAGTTTCTATAGGTACAATATTAAAAATCAACTAGATACAACATATTAAAAGCTACTCTCATAAAATATAATTCCATACTATTAAAACTGTTTGAATACATAGTCTCTGCATTTTTTTTGGAAAAGGGTCAAAGTCGTGAGGTTTTTTGCCTCAGAGGGTAAGCTATTGAAGAGTATTAAACCCTTATTAAATACTGTGTCACAGTGCATGTTATCCATTCGAATATAAAAATCATTTGCAGTTCGAGTTCTAGTCTCATGAGTGTGTACATTTTCAATATAACTTAATTCGTCACTGAGGTAGGTTGGTAACATACGGTTTTTCATCTTGAACACAAAGACCAACATATTGTAATGAATTCTTTGTTTCACAGTCATCAATGATAATGTATCTAACATATTTTTTATTGGAGTACGTTTGTTACACATGAGTATAGCTCTCATGGCACGATTGTGTGTTTTTTGAATTATGTTCAACTGGTCATTATTAAGAAAAAATAATAGGGTTCCACAATAATCGAAGTGAGGTGCTATTATAGACTTGTAAATAGTCAACTTAGAAAAAAAAGAAACTTTACCATTGAGCCTGAACAAAATGTGGGTTTTCTTTGCAATTTTTTTCTTTATATAATCACAGTGTGCATTCATATTCAATTCTTCATCAATCATTACTCCCAAGTACTTATAGGTTTTCACAGTCTCAATTATAACATTATTAATCATCAAGGTCATTTGAAACAAATCGTTTTTCAATGTTTTATGTTTGTTTCTGTTAGCTATCAACATACATTTGGTCTTTCCAAGATTCAGCATCAGTCCATTATCACACAACCATGAGAAGATACGACTCAAGTCCTCATTTAAAGATGATTCAACTTCTTCTGGTTCACCAGCAAAGTATAACAAAGTATCATCAGCGAATAATTTCAATTTACATTTCTTTACTTGTTTGATGATATCGTTAATGAACAAAATAAATAATATCGGTCCCAATATTGAACCCTGGGGGACTCCATATTGAGTTTTCAGTTTACGAGAAAATACATTGTTATACTTTACTATTTGTGTTCTATGTCGTAAATAACTTTCGAACCAATTTAATACATTGCCTGTAATTCCATATCTATTGAGTTTTAACAACAATAAATCTATGTTGATAGTTTCAAAAGCACGCTTGAAATCCAAAAATACAACTCCTATCACCTTTTTTTTGCTAAGATTTGTTTTCCATTAGGGTATTAAAAATTGCAGGGAAGTCTCACAGGAGTGAGATTGTCGAAAGCCAGATTGTTCCTTGATGATTATATCGTTATCTCCAAGAAATTTCAGCAGCTGATCTTTAACGACCAGTTCCAACATTTTTTCATAACTTGGGAGGGTATTTATGGGTCTGAATTCACAACTGTTCGAAGTATTGATCACTTTTTGAATTGGTATGACTGTTGATAGTTTCCAAGCACTCGGAAAAGTGCCAGTGCCTAATGAAGTGTTTATAACATCCAGGAAGCAGTTTCCAATTGCTTGAAAAGCTAATTTAATTATACGAAGATCTATCCCGTCATTATCAGAACTATTTTTCTTCAGTGAATCAAGAATTTTTTTTTCAAATCTATCATTGTTACAATTCGAAATGCGTCAAATTTCGGTTTTACCATTTGAATATGACGTATAACATTATTGAAATCGTTGAATGGTTTAATATCATTGACAATTTTTTGTATGCTATTAATAAAAAATTCGTTAAAAGAATCAGCTATATTGAGATCATTTTCAATCATTACACCATCAAAGTTTATACTTGAGGGATTGTTTTGTTTTTTTCCATTCAACAATTCTTTCAATGATTTCCACATGGCCTTATTATCACATTTGTTCTCATCAATTTGTTTCTCATAATATTTTCTTTTTTCTGTTCTTATCAAAGTATTCACAACATTTCTAATTTTCTTATATTCTACCCAATCATGATCCAATTTGGAATGTTTCGCTTTTTTATGTAGATTATCTCTTTCTTTAATTTTATTTATCACATCCTGGGAAAACCATACATTCAATTTGAAATTGTTGAATATTTCATATTTTCCAAAGGGAGCATATGTATTCAGATTATCAATAATGATATTCACCAATGACACTGACATATATTCTATATCAATAGTAGATGAATTCCATTTTGCATCTATCAAAGCTAACTGAAATTTGAGTTCATCAAAATTTTTATAACTTCTCCTGATAGCTATTGAATTTCTACATTGAAGGCTTGTATTCTCATAGTTTTTTATTGTAATCAACAACATGATGAAGCTGCATTCAACCACCACCTATGCTACAGAGCGTTAAGAAGATAAGGGTGAAAGAATAACTTTGTTTTCTTCCTGTATAATGATCAAAACACTTCCAACCATATCTACGATTTGGTGAAACTTTCATCAGAATCGGACAAGAATTAAATAAGTTACAGGATCGATCTATTTGGCAAAATTTGTTGGTGACCGTGTTTTTGCCAGTGAGTGTAATATTAGAACTTCAACGTTCACTCAAATTTTTCTCAATAAAAAATCTCACAACCCTCCTTCCCCCAGGTGGCCAATCTGACGCTAATGGCACTCGGCTCCAGCGCCCCCGAGATCCTCCTCTCCGTCATCGAGATCTACGCGAAGAACTTCGAGGCTGGCGACCTCGGCCCCGGCACCATCGTCGGCAGCGCCGCCTACAACCTCTTCGTCATCATCGCGCTGTGCGTGGGCGTCATCCCCAAGGGCGAGTCTCGAAAGATCAAGCACCTGGGCGTGTTCTTCGTGACGGCCTCGTGGTCGGTGTTCGCCTACGTGTGGCTCTACCTCATCCTGTGCTTCTTTTCGCCAGGCGTGGTGGACATTTGGGAGGGGGTCCTCACCTTCTGCTTCTTCCCTTTGACCGTCCTCACGGCCTATGCGGCAGACAGGAATATCCACAGGTGAGTTTTCTCGTCGTCCATTTCGTTCTAAAATCAACTCTAGGAGTTGTCAATTCTCTTGGGTTATTTTACGAGTGATTGGGTCTATTCAGCCCTCCACTGCGACCTGTAAGGGTCTATTGTGGCACACACCGATTCAAACTTCACCAAGTAGATCCAGCTTTTTAATGAAGCCAATTAGATTACTCAGTAAGTGATCTTTCAGGTCCGAGGGCGAGAATGCTCTGCTGTTTCATTAGCCTCAAGACAGAGGCAGCACGTCGTATCTTCCCTCAAAAACCATCATGTGGAGAAGAGATCACTCTTCAATCTGAAACATGAAACAGATTTTCTAGGGAACTAACATTCAGGCTAACATTTGGAAACATGAATCTACGATTCGGTCGGAATTTCATCTAAAATATCGGATCAGCATTGAAAAAGTTACAGACCCTAGTAACACAATTATGTCCCATCCTGTAGGGACATTCAGGACGTTCACAGGACGTTCGAGTTTGATACCGTGGACGTCCATTGGACGTCTGTGGGACGCACAAATGTCCCACTTGAGGACTTACAAGGGACGTCCTTGAGGGGACAACTATCTAATATCTAAATCCTACAGTATTTCTCATCAACCACTACGGAGGACATCCTTAGGATATCCGTAGGACAGACTATCAGCAACGCTGAGTGATATCAATTGGATGTCCATAGGATGTCCCAGGAACGTACGAATTATTCTAGAATTTGAATTTTTCTGGGTCCCTCCATGACCAGATCTTGCATAACTGATGAGGACATCCAGTTGAGTTGATGGTCCTTAAAAGGTTCCCAATAGATCCTGAAATAGTTTCCCACTGATATCCAATGGACTTACGTGAAGGACATTGATGGGGAGTATTTATAGCCTACGAGCAATCATTCTTCGGCGAGGTGTAAGTTAACGTCCTCGCAGGGACAACATATTGAAAGTACTGACTAAGACGTCCGTAGGACGTTATTTCTAGGACATTGGAAGAGTACAGCTGTTTTAGTTTATGTACCAATTGGGACATATCCGACGGATATCCCTAAGGGACATTCGAAGGATGTCGCTAAGGAACATTTAGATTGTTATACGATCCTGGAAATATTATGGGCGTCTGTGCAGAGATATCCCAGACAGCACCAGATATTCCATGAATCTCCCTATCATATTCCTTTTGGAATATTGGAATATTCTAGAAATAATCTGGAATATTCCGGAATATCTGTGGAATATTCTCTAAATATGCGAATGGGAATTCCTCAGATAATCATAGAATATACCCAAAAGAATATTCTATGTTGAATGTTCCTGGAATATTCCAATAAACATATTCTAAAATAAAAAAAAGTGACCCAAGTAGGGATCGAACTCGTGACCTCGAGACTATCAGAGCAACGCCTTGACCACTAGGCCAGTAATCGAATTGAATAATGTTATACAAATCAAGTTCTTGTGAGAGCATTGTTCGAAATCGGATCATTAACACTTTTTGTTTCAAAATCCCCTTACATCTAATTGATGTTCGATACTCACATCTCTGAAATAATTAATGGTATTTATGTGTTGAGAAACATAGGAATATTCATGGAATATTTCATGAATATACACCACAGAATATTCAGTTGAGAATATATCATGAATATACCGCACAGAATATTCAGTTGGGTATATTTCATGAATATACCGCACAGAATATTCAGTTGGGTATATTTCATGAATATACAACAGAGAATATTCAGTTGGGAATATTCCTGGAAAATTCATACATGAATATTCCCTGAACATGTCCGACTATTCACTTTGGAATATTCCCTTTAGATGTTCCAGTGGCATGTATATATTCCAGGAATAATCGATGAATATTCGGAATATACTCCTCCTTTTCAGCATATTTAGAGAATATTCTATGAATATCCAGTGCTGTCTGGGATTTGAAGGAATGTGCCATCAGGGTCATTCCATGGTTGTCTAGAATGGACATTAGATGAGATCTGAAGTCATGCCAGAATATGTACTACTCGGGACATCCGATGGATGTTCTTAGAAGAACGTTTAAATTCATATCCCATCAGTGGCATGCCAAGGACGTCCTTGCATGGATATTCTACAATATGTACCACGTGGGACGTCTAAGGGATGCTATTTCTAGGACATTTGAAATGATGTACCTGCTGTAACATTCCGTGGACGTCCTTGCTCGGACATTGCATGAGATGTACGGGATGGGACGTCCCAAGGATATTTATTTTCGGTCCGGGACATTCGGACTTGAATTGTACCAAATAGGGACGTCCCTAGGACGTTGTGTGCTATCAGGGGAGCTAACAATTTGGCTAAATTATTTGGTGGCCGGTGTTTCTTGCCGGTGAGTGTATTTTAAAAAACTAGTAGCCGAGAATGAATCATACCTACCCTCAATAACATATGAGATAGTATAAGTAATTGGAATTCAGCGATCGTCACTTCCCTGTTGCAGGTACATCCGCAAGGACTACCGCATGAACAGACGCGGCGTCATCGTCCAAGCGGAGGGCGGCGACCGCCTCGAGATGGGCAACGGCGAGCTGCTGCCCGCCGCCCCCGAGGCCGAGGGCGGTGCGCGCGACGACGACGCCAAGCGCGAGTACGTGGCAACACTGCGCGAGTTGCGCAGGGAGCACCCGCGCGCCGATCTCGCCGCGCTGGAGAAGATGGCGCACGAGACGCTGCTGGGAAGAGGGCCCAAGTCGAGAGCGTTCTATAGGATCCAGGCGACGAGGAAACTGATGGGCAGCGGAGATTTGCTCAGGAGGTAAGCAATCAATCAATCAAAACTGAGGAAGGGGAAGGATTGGTATCATTACAAGACAGTACAAGGTAAGAGGGAGTCGACTGAAACGAGGCTTAAACGAGACAACGAGACGAGAGTCAATGATAGCTTAGACAGCGTGAGATGAGCGTGGGCTAAACAACACTCAATTGCCAACTAATGCTACACTCCTATTTCTAGTTTGTGAAATACCTAGTCACTAATTTCTGAATGTATGTGTTCGACAGTGGTAGTTGAACCTGATAGTTAATTTGTGATCCATCGTATCCAGTTGCTTAGTTTCGAGGAGCCAAAAAGGGAAATCAGGATTAACAACGTATTTCATCAAGAATGATTCCACATCCGAAGGAAATGTGAATGATATTGTTGAACAGCACGTATATTCTTCCGCCGTTTTTGAGATAGTATATTGTGAACAAGAGATATTAGTTGACAGTGTTCATTGAGCTAGTGTGGATTTGATTAGACTATTTGCGTTTTGTATATCTCACATCTGATGTGTGATGGGTAAAGGCGTACTAAGCTGTTCGTAAAATAAGAATAAGTAGTACCTAATAAATTTGCCTTGTTCTACTGTCTATGTATCCTTATTTCAACAGTTTCTTTGAAACGCATTCACGTTGGAACGTGCCCATAACGGTTGTCTCGGAACGTGTCTGGGACGATATTGTTGAAACGTTCCAAGAAACTTCACTAAGGTAGTACATTTACATTCTCTGGAACGTTTCTGAAACTTCAGAGAGACTCAAGTGGAAAGGTTTCAGATATCCGAAAGACATTCCTGATACTGACATAATTAGGTTTAGTGGGTTCGAGCTATGCGCGTATCTACAGTACATATCATTTTTTATCTGTTGTTATTTTTTGTGCCCACCTATAACTACTATTATATACTCACACCTATTTCCATTCTCCCAGTATCTTTTGTGTTTTTTTGTTGTTTCACGTATTAAAAATTTCAATCCAATCGGTCAAGCCGTTTAGTAGTTGACATACCGACAGCAGCGCCACCTACAGCTTCCAATCGTATTCTCAAATCATCCAAGAAACCATTGTAATACCTATATAAAAGTTCAGCACAATCTGTTCCACTGAAAAAGATAGGTACGGAAGGACAATTCTTATGCTACCCGTTGTCCTAACCCGTTTTCTCATAGAAATGGAACATTTTCCCGGTGAAAAGTAGCCTATGTTAATCATGGATAATGTCGGCACATAGATCTACATACACACATTTAGATCTATGGTCGGCATTTAATGGTCGAAGCATTATTCGAATAGGTCCATTAGTTTTGGAGCCCATTCAAACAAACAATCAAATCTTTCCTCTTCATAATATTAGACCTAGGCTAAATTATACATACTTTGAAACTTTTGGTGGGCAGAGGGCCCAGTCGTTGGCCTTCTATCGCATCCAGGCGATGGGGAAGTTGATGGGCAGCGGGGATTTGCTCAGGAGGTAATGAAATCAATGGATCAAAAGTATTTATAGTCGCTCTCAAGGTGACCTCGGCATCCTTAAGGACCAGTTCCAATTCATAGTCGTAATATGAGCTCGAAGGAAGCCACAGAAGGAAATATCAATTCCAAGAAAGGTAAAGGGTTATCTTGAGCATTCCTTGACCCAATTTCTAGTATTATTTCAGAGGTTATGTTATGAATATCTAAATGAAAGAAGATTATAGGACATAGCCCTCAGGAATAGTTAACCGCAGACACGTCCCTAACAACACCAGTACATCCTAGGGACTTCCCATGGACGTCCCTGATTTTATACTAGGACATCCCAGGGATGTCCTTTGTCGGGACAACGTACATACTAGGGATGTCCCAGGGACATCCGCTGGCCGCTAAAGAAGGCATCCAAGGGATGTCCTTCTGGTACGTCCCTGGGATGTACCAAGTACGATGAAAGGATTTTCCTAGGACGTCCCAAGGATATCCCAGGGACATCCTTTCGACAAAAGAAAAAAAGTTGCAGGTCGAGTAGGGATTGAACCCGGGACCTTGCTCCATTGGCTATCATGCCTCCTGAAGATTTATGTACTAAACAGATTTATAAACAGGACTTAACTACAGAAACCTGAATGAATACAACTTTATTAGGAATTGGGTATAATTATTATCATTCTTGGTTGTTTAAAAATGAGGGGCATTATGCATGTACGATTTCTGTCTGCGAAAAATGGTAATTTCTCAAGAAGTTCTGAGACTTTATTCTTTTTTTTCATTACAATCATTTTCCGGAAGAGAAACAAAAATTTTCACAAAAAATTCAACTCAATAGTTTGATGAAATTCAATGACTCTGATGTGAATGGATATCAGATACTCCAGGGACACGAATAGGATAACCTAGGGATGTACCGGGCGGGATGTCCACTGGACAACCACTGCAGGACATCTCCTGAATGTCCCAATCATGTCCTTGTACCGCGGGACAAAAAAGGGACGTACCTAGGACATCCCTGTGTTGTTAGGGGTGTTTCGGGCTTTCGGCCCTCATCAGTACGGTGAAAGAATTGCCTATCTTTTGCCCTTCCTTCCTCCTTCCTCTGTGATGTCTTCTTCCACCAATTTTACATATCTGTGACAAAGGAAAAAACGCAACCTCCTTGAAACCGTGGAAATTAATAAAGCTGTCAAAAACTCTAACCTCAACTTCCTTCTTCAGATACTTCTAATAGGCCATCCACCGTGGATCACCCTGTATATCAATACGGATTCCGGATTTTCTCTCTCACTTGGTGAAAGATACCTAAGCGTAATATAAGACCCCTCCTTTCGTGTCGGGGTGTTAATAATCAATAGCACAGTTGAGTCTATAGATCTATTTTTTCAGGATTCCGACGACCCTTATAGAAAGTGAATCCACCAAAGTGGAGTTGGTATAGTATAATATGATGACATAACGCGTGATGCAAATAGCGTGCAGCTAACATGCAACTTCATATTAAACCTATATTCGGCCGAATGAATCTGATCCCACGGAAATTTCAAGCATGCCAAGCCATAGCGTACACGCGAAATCTGAATTTGTGGTTCATTCATAAATTCATGTCCGACCGATTGTCACGAACCTGACGATCTTTGTCCACGGGATGTCCCATCTTGTATTTTGTTCTTTATTCACTAAAAAATGAATCCCTGTGATTGTCCTGTGACTCCTGTTACATCTAGAACACCCCAAACAAGTCCTTGCAGTGTTCTAGATTGGTTATTTTTCGATATATGTTTCATTTAGCTATGAAGTACTAAAAAACTCCAACAGCTTGTATCTTGAAAACGAAGCTCGAAAACTCAAATCAAGAACTCAAAAATGTTCATTTTCACCAACAAAAAATTTGTGAACATTTTTCGAACCATCCTGATACAGCAACTTATTAACTGATATACTTAGGGAAATTTCTATACAGAGTGGGCCGTTGAAAACGAAACAGAGGCTCTGTAGGTCGCCAAAACCGGATTATAAAAAAAATCTGAAACACGTCAACTATATTTTCGAGGAAGACATCGTTCTAAAATATTTTCAGCCCTGCGGCGTTGCCGCTTCTAGAGGAAAGAAGCAACAACTTTGTTATTTCAAATGGAACACCATGTATTTTATTGCATTTTTAGATTCTCCCCGAAGAGCTGATTTCATCAATGCATCACACTTAGGGTCTAGCTGTGATGGTTTCAGGGATATAAAGTGTTCAAAATCGAGATTTTTCAACTTTACCATTTTTTTGTGTCGAAACTATTGATTATTGGTCGAAACGGCATTCATGTCCCTATCTCAACTTAGGTGTTCGATATACTATGAATCCAATTTCACTGTCCATAATTTCCACCCTGATGTTTGGTATGGAATGGGGATCCAATAACTTGGTAGATTTTAATGCAACCAAAACACAAGCATGCCTTTTCTCTAGAAAAGCCGATCTCACTGTGCCCAACATGAGCTAGATTAGATTGATATGGGGCTCATGTGCTACTAGGAGCCTCTCCACTGCGACCTTTACAGATCTATTGTGTGTGCCCTCATGTTATGTTAGAGTTCCTTGTCTAAACCCATCCTTATTACTAGACTCCATAGGCCAGACCTCAGGTCCTCCATATATTGAGAGGGCTGTGGTTTTTCCTCCCCTATCGTCGAAAACCTTAGCCTAGTCAGGCCTTCGCAGTAGCACAGTATGTGTGCTGAGGTTTCCTCATCTTCATGGCAAAACCTGCATATGGTTGTGTCCGCCAATCCGATGTTGTTCATGTGTTTGTTGAGTCTACAGTGCCCTGTCAGGAGCCCAACCAAGATCCTTGTTGTTCTCCTATTCTGGCTTAGTAGGTACTCCGTGAATTTTGGCAATGGTTCTTTAATGAACTCTTTGGCCTGTCTCATTCCCGGCGCCTTGTTCCACCATTCTCGAGACTGCTTCTTCATCCAAGTACTGTTATTTGTTCTTTGCAGCGCTTTCGCTATACCACAGAAAGGTTCTGGACCGATAGGAGCACATCTTGCTCCTTCTCGGGCTAGTGAGTCAGCCTCTTCGTTGCCCTTGTAGCCTGTGTGGCCTGGTACCCAGGCTAAGTACAGTCTGTTTTGACTGCCCAGCTCTTGTAGGGTTTCCAAGCAGTCCCAGACGAGTTTGGAATTGATCTGCATGGAGCTGATTGCTTTTATAGCCGCTTGGCTGTCGGAGTAAATGGCGATGGTCTTTTCCTTAAACTCTTGCCTTATTAACTCTCCTGCACACTGATGTATTGCTGCAACTTCTGCCTGGAATATCGTCACGTGTTTACCTAAGCTCAGTGAGACTCTTGTCTTTGGCTTGGCTATATATATTCCTGCTCCTACACCTTCATCGGTTTTTGAGCCGTCTGTATAACAGGCCATTTCTGCATCAATTGGAGGACCTCCCTTCCATGCCTCTCTGTCTGTTATAACAGTCTTGAATTGTTTACCGAAGCTATACTTGGGAAGCATCTCGCCCGATGGCATTCCCA